GCTCAGAATGGCCTTAAACATATGGCAATCCTTCTGCCTCAGTTCCCCCTCCCAAGTGCTAGGGTCACATACAAGTTACCACATCAGGATTTGCATAAACCAAGGACTGAACCAGGGCCCTGTGCACACTAGCAGGACTGAACTAGGGCTCCTTGCACACTAGCAGGACTGAACCAGGGCTCCTTGCACACTAGCAGGACTGAACCGGGGCCCTGTGCACACTAGCAGGACTGAACCAGGGCTCCCTGCACACTAGCAGGACTGAACCAGGGCTCCCTGCACACTAGCAGGACTGAACCGGGGCCCTGTGCACACTAGCAGGACTGAACCAGGGCCCTGTGCACTGAAGCCTCTAAGGAAATGGCAGCACCCTCAGGCCCGGGACCTGCAGTGCTTTCCATGTCTGCCTCTGTGGGGATCACAGACCCTGGCCGGAAACCCACTCCTAGATCAGCCTGGGAGCAGGCAGCTGCGAGACAATGTTTACTGAAAACATGTTTACTGAAAACAATTCAGTGCCATAAATTCCTGATAAGGGCTTGATGCGGTCACTGAAACACCCTGACTAGCTACTCCCTGCTGTTCCCGATTCTGGTGCCAGAGATTCAACCACCAGCCAGGAGGAAGGAGAGGTCTGTGAGAGGGGTGTGAGAGGGCTGTTGGAGATTTGTGCGTGTATGGATGGCAGAAGTTTTTCTAAAGGGAAGTGTTTTTTCTTGGGAAGTTCTCCTAAGCCGATTTGGGGAGCATAAAGTTTTCTTAACGCAACCGACTGGTCTCTGTGTCATCAATCCTCGCCACATTCTCAGATACAGGCTGCGCAGCAGGCACGGCATGCCTCTGCCACTAGGACTTCTTCCTCAGTTTGCAGTCTGCACACACTGGTGAGCAGTCAGCCTGTGCCATCAGTCTTTGAGAGGAGGGTCTTAGAGACCACTTCTATCGCTTCAGGGCCCTTCCCAAGTTCCCCAAGCAGAAGGCCATTTGCCTCATGGTCAGGGGCTGGCAGCTGATGCCCAGTCACTTCCCAAAGGTGAGGGAGCCGCCTCTTCCCTTAGCCCTGCTACATCTTCATAGCTTGTTTCTCAGGTTACACGGCGCTCCCAGCCAATGGTTACACAAACAGCATCTTTCCTGCTCCCTCTCAGAAATGGAAACTCTCAGCCTACTAATTTGGCTTGGGCCATTTTCACTAATGCATCTCCTTTTGGAGCTGTCAGTCTGCCATAAAAACACTGTAATTGACTGTGTTTGCTCCTTTACTGCTTGAATAACACAGAATAATCCTTTGTCAGTCCCTCCTTCCAAGTCTTAGGGAAGTCTTATTTTAACCAGCAATAGCCAGATTCTAGCCTATTACAGCTGCTTCAACTCTCAGAGGAGCTGTACAAAAGAAAAAAGTGCCTTCTACCTCAAAAAACCATTAGAGACTTTCTTCTTATTAATAAGGCACCCAGAACACATACTATTCCATGGAACCAAAAGGACCAATTTCTCTCCTGGAGCAGAGCGGCAATTGTCGGGTACTCGTTAAATTACAGAAATGAGCAATGACTCTTTCCCGATTTGTTTCTCGGTGAATAGCTGAGGAGCTTGGCTTTTCCAAGTCTGCCTCCCATAGACCCTCCCCTCTGGATCCCTGTGGACCTGTGTAGCTGTTAGCATGCCACACAGATAATCCTGGGCTCCTCAGTACCCAACATGGCTAGCCTTTCTGTCTACCCCAGCCAGTTCCTATCATGTTAACACATTTTTTTTCTTTCTTTTTTTTTCTTTTTGGAAACATTGTTTTGGAGGCTGTCCTGGAACTCACTCTGTAGACCAGGCTGACCTTGAACTCACAGAGATCCTCCTGTCTCTGCCTCCTGAGTGCTGGGATTAAAGGCGTGCGCCACCAACGCCTGGCTCACATGTTTTCTTAAAATAATAATTTTGAGATCTGTGAAATAGCTCATCCTGCAAAAGTACCTGCCACCAAGTCTGATGGCATGAGTTTGATCCCTGGGACCTATGTGGTGGAAGGAACCAACTCACACAAGATGTCCTCTGGTCTCCATATGCTTCTTTGCATGCAATCTAAAATTCAAAGTAAGTCCATGCCTTTAATTCAGTACTTGAAAGGCAGAGGCAGAATGATCTCCATGAGTTCAAGGCCAGCCTTGAACTGAGTTCCAGGTCAGTCAAGGCTACATAATGAGACCCCCGTATCAAAAAACAAAAATTAAAGTAATCTCATCATTAAAATATAAAAATAACCGACTGATTTTCTAAATATTTTCTTTCATTTGGCACAGCATTTCCAAAAGGTGGCCTACCATATCTACATAAAGTGTATTAATGCCGGGTTGTGACAATTAAACCCACGGTTGCCTTGGTTTTTAAGATTTAATTACCTTGGTTGAAACATAGGTGAAAGATTCTACTTTCTGGAACTAATGATTAAGGAGTAAAGTAAGAGAGACTACAGATATTAGCAGATACTCTATCCCGTGCTCAAAGGCACTTACTCCTCTTCCGCACATCCGCCCACAACTGTATGCTGGAACCACCCACTAACCTCTGGCCCTTCAGAGGCAGGAGCTCCTGAAGGTAGGGACTGAGTCCTAACTGGTATCACCCCTTAAGAGTCTAGAAGTGCTTCCCTTAATGTTGGTGCATTCAACATGGAAGTCTGGCATATACTGAACACGTATTCTACCACTGAGCTATCCCCCCAGCCCCAAAAGTCTGCTCTTAATTAGTTACAGCATTAGATCAGCTGGTGAACCTGCTGCCGGCATTTCTGAGTTTTAACTGGGCATTACTCTGGTTCTGACAGACAGAACCTCAAATATCTCATGAGCTCAACCTAAATATAGATTTCTCTTGCACAAAACAGCAGGAAAATGTTAAACTTTAGAATTTCAAGTGTTTTTGTGGATTCCAGTCTCTGCCACTAACTAAAATTGCTTTTGGCAAGTCTAACCACAGTGGATCCTGTGTTCGAGATTCAAATGAGGAATGACACTAAATGGCCTCCAATCACTCACTGGGCCCAGCTCTAAAACTGATGAGGCATGAGTCAGGGGACAGTGGCAGAGTGGCGCATGTTAACACTAGAGGGCGCTACACTCGTGTCATCACAGGGGGTTCAGGTCAGGAAATTTCAAGAAAAAGATCTTCCTCTCTCCCCAGATTTACTGTCCTGGAGGCAGAACCTGGGACTATGAGTTTGCCAGGCAAGCATTCTGCCACAGGTCTGCACCACCACCCTGACTAGTAGCTTCACCATCGGGACCTGGCTTTGCAGGTGAGTGGCAGGTTGATGAATTCAGCTATAATTAGCATCAACAATCTCCTGTGGGATTCAAATGTTTCTCTCCCTTTATTTCTTTGGTTTGGGAATTTTCCATGTGCTCTTACTTGCTTCTTTGGTTTTTGAGACAGGGTCTTATGTAGGTCAGGCAGACCACAGACTCACTATATGCCTGGGGATGTCTCTGAGGCCCTGATGCTTCTCCTTCCATCTCCTAAGTGGGGGGTTACAGGCTTAACACACTTTGTGGGACTTACTTTACTTTTTGTTTTTGTTAGCTTGGTTTTGATGCTGTTGTTTTTCAAGATAGGTAGCCTTGGCTATCCTGGAACTCACTCTGTAGACCTTGAACTCATAGAGATCTACTTGCCTCTGCTTCCTAAGAGCCAGGATTAAAGGTGTGCATGACCACCACCCACTGAATTTTTTTGATATATATAAAAAAAATGGAGAAAGAACTCTTTAGGAATGGCTTAAAGCCAACTTGGTTCTCGTGGAATTAAAATGAAGCTCAACAGCCTGTGATACAAGCCAGTGAGAAGAGCTTCTGGGGAAGAACCTGTGGCTGCTCAGTCTGTCAAGGGATAAGGTAAAGGAGTCAGGGAAGGAGGGGAAGAACAGGCATCCTGAAGATGAAACGGCTCTGACAGTCACACACTGCAATGGCTAATATTGACTACATCTGGAATCAACTACAGCCAAAGCAACCAGGCACACCACTGAGGGATTCCTGACCGGCTCATCAGAGGTGGGAGACACACCCTAAATCTGGGTCACACTGTCCTGAGTCAGGCTCTTGCTGGAAAGTTCATTCCCTCTCTACTTCAGAATCTACTTCATCAGGAGTCTGTGTTTACTGAAAAAAAGCTGAGACATCCAGCTTCATAGACCAAAAGCCTATCTTAGACTTTCCATCAAGAGACAGCCAGTTGGACTAGCTGTACCACAGCATGCAAGCAATTCTAATAAATGCTTTTAATATATACACATTCATTCTATCAATTCTGTTCCTCTAGAAAACTCTGACTAATATGAATGCACACTCTCTCTACCTCTGGAAAAGATTCTTGGCCTTGAAATAGTGTGACCTAAACAATCCACAAACAAGGGTATGGCTGAAAGCCTGTTTCTCTTGGCCCAGAGGAACAATGGCGAGCTAACCTGACAGGGTGGCTATAACAGGCAGTGTGCAGGAGACAGAGAAATGCAGGACAGAACTCCTTGCATTTCTACATCCTGGATTAATGTGATTCAGAACAGCAAGGCCTTTGCAGTCAGATACCGACTCCCTACTTTTAGGACACAGACAGCTCTTGAGTAAAAATAGACAAACAGTAACCTTGAAGAGCAACTCTCTGGGTGAAAGGGAAAAAATTTACTAGATCAAAACATTTTTTTTTCACTTAAAAACTGCAAACTCAAACCTCTGGAGAATAAAGTAAAACTCACTAGGTTTGAATTCAGTATCAAAGTAGCTAGGAAATGTTATTCTTTCTTAAACGAATTTCAAGTATTCTAGAGGTGCCAGGAGGAAGGATGGATGGACGGACGGATCATCTATGGGTCTCCCCCTAGCCCTCTCTATCTCTGACATCCTTTCCTGGAAAGCAGGAGAAAACACATTGCAATGCTAAAAGGTGACGGCTTGTCTCCTCCTCCACTCAGGCATGCCCCAAAGGCTTCCATATCCCTGCATCATACTGACCTTTAAAATGTTCCGGCCATCAAATGATTCTCTTTCCTTGAAGATGTATTTGCCATCTGCTGTGTAGAGGTTGTACCTGCCTTCAGCTGTAATAATCCAAAGACAATGCAAGAGGAACATGATTAGTGTGTTTGTGCTTCCCTCTTGATCATCTATAGGACCACAGCAACCAGCAAGCTTTCACCTCCCGCTAGAAAGCAGCACAAGGTGGGAAGAGCAGCTAAAGGTCAAGAGATGAGGCTTCCGGGCTGCATTCTCCAAGCCCTGACTGTGTGTATGCACTGGGTAACTAATGAGCCCCTCCGCAGATCACAGTTCTCCATTGACAAAGTCAGAGGTTGAGACTAAGTCACCTCCGGGCATCTACAACCCCAAAATAAATGGCATGTGATTTTAATTATGTTAAAACACACAAAAACTCACATGTAAACTATTCAAAATTGCTGGTGTCCAGGATTCGGGTAGACTCAGAGACTACCTCCAAATGGTGTGTGGGTGCTTTACTACATTAAAGATATCCTTATATTCTACACAGGAAGGCAGCCTGTCCATGACCTTGGCCTAAACAAAACTGTACTCTAGTTGACTAAGTTAATTTAGGCTGCATGTCCCAAAAGATGTCCTTAAAGGACAGCCAGAAGAATATCAAAGGGAAAGGAGACAGGAAAAAAAAGTAATGTATCTTTTCATGTCCTTTTCAAGTAAAAAATTCAATACAGAGAAGAGCACAGGAAAGGGAACATTCAAAGGACCCTCAAGAATCTTTAACTTCAGAATGCTTCTGACTGATAACTCTTTCCTGCCCACGACAAGCCTTTACAAGCACTTGGACTTTTACTTTCCAGTATGCTCTTTCATTGTCCAGGTCTGCAGAGTCCCAGGTCAGAGCTGAAGGACTCGCAAGAGCTCAAACAACTCTATGAACATCACACATTTTAGCTACATGTGTGGGGACTCCAGACCTAGCTCAGACGAGAAGTGTTCTAAACAAGACCCCAGACTCAGGCATGCTCCACAGCTTAAAAAAAAAAAAAACGAGTTCTGAAAGCCAGACTCAGTGGCACACACCTATACAGCCAGCACTTGGGATGTGGAAGCCGGACAAGAGTTCAAGGCCACCTCGCAAATTTAAGGCCAGCCTGGGTTACATGAGATCCTATCTCAAAAACACAAGCAAAACAAACATAAACAGCTTCCCTGTTAAGAAAAAAAGAACAACACGAGCAGTTTGGAAAGAAGTAAATCAATACCAAAAAACCCAAAACAACTACTAGAAAGTAGGAATTGTGGGCAGGGAGACAGTCCAGTCAGTAAAGTGCTTGTCTTGCACCTGAATTTAACCCCAGATCCATGCTATGAAATAAATAATTAAAAAAAAAAAGCAGCCCTGGTGGCAGTGCACTTATAACCTTGCCCAGAGGACAGCAGAGATAGGAGGATCTTGGGCTTATTAGATAGCTAGACCACACCACTTAGTGAGTTTCAGGCAAGTGGGAGACCCTGTCTCAAAAACTAAGATGGACAGTGCAGAGTGAGACTGAGATTCTTCACTGTTTAGGTTAAATTTACCTGGGCATCTTAAATCCTTCTTGGGGGAGACATGCTAAAGATTGAGAAGTAGGAGCTCATGAATACTAGGCAAGCACTTTGCCCCTAAACTGCACCACAACCCTCATCTCCAGGCAAGCACTTTAGCCTAAACTGTACCCCAACCATCATATTTTTGTTTGCAAATTCTGACAAGCCCATGTGTGACAGACTGAGTGCCATGTAGGTATGCCCCTTCTACTGGGTTCATTAGAGCAATGGTATACCAGAGATTCACACTGGCTGCTCATTGAAAGCTCTAGCTCGTTGTGATCCCTGGAGCGGCTCTGGGAGGACTTACCATTGGGGTCTTTCCTGAACAGTGTGTTCATGACCGTGGCGTGCAGTTTCACACTGTTCCAATCTTTCACTATTAGTCCCAGTGCCTGAAAGCGCTCCAGCACTCGATCAACTAGTTCCTGCAGCCTGGAGAAGTTGAAGCACCAAAATCTTAGTGAACACAACCTGACCACCAACTGAACAGGCATGCAGTGTGTGCTCTGTGCCAATCATGGGACAAGGCTGCAGTCCCCATCAGAGCTCACTGTCTGATCAAGAAGGCAGCCTTGGGAACAAGTCACTGTTGGTTCAGGCACAAGCCTGTAATACCAGCACCCAAGAGGCTGAGTTAGGGGTGATAACATTTGTTGTTATTTTCTGTTTGCTTGTGAGTCAGGCCCCACTATGTAGCACTGGCTAGCCTAGAACTCACTATGTAGACCAGACTGGCCTGAGACTCAAAAGATCAGCCTACCTTTGCTGGAATTTAAATATGTGCACCACCAAACCTGGCAGGATCATAAATTTGAGGCAAGCGAGATACACTTGAGTTCCAAGGCAGCCAAGGTCACAAAACAAAACCCTGGGGAGGGGTATGAGGAGAAGAAAAGAGACATCACTGCAATGCAGGATGGTTTTTGAGAGTGATCAACTGCATGGAGACAGAAGTCAGCATGTTCTTGAAGGCTTAATAAAGATTCACAGACACGGCTGGAGAGATGGCTCAGTGGTTAAGAACACTGACTGCTCTTCCAGAGGTACTGAGTTCAATTCCCAGCAACCACATGGTGGCTCACAACCATCTGTAATGAGATCTTCTGATATGCAGGCAGAACACTGTAAACATAATAAATGAATCTTTAAAAAAAAAAAAAAGATTCACAGACAAAACCAGGAAAAGAAGGGCACTCCAAGCAAAGAAAAAGCAGAACACACAAGACCCCAGTGATACAGACAGGATCACAGCGGACAGCAGCCATGGTGGGGGAGGGGGCACCTGCAGCAAAGCCATTTTGTTGGCATACCAGAGGCAGAAATCTTATGACAAAGGACAAGGGAGGAATCAGACAGGGAGGCGGCAGGGGCACACTAGTCTCTTAAGACACTGGAAAGGAAGGAAAATGCTAGTCTTCGGCAGGCCACAAGAAGCAGTGCAGGTTTCTAAGAAGCCGGAACTGAGGAACTAAAAGCATGTCACCCAAAACAGATAAACATGCAGTCTCGCTGTGCATTGGTAGCACACGCCTTTAATCCCACACTCAGGAGGCAGAGGTAGGCAGATCTCTGTGAGTTCGAGACCAGCCTAGTCTAGAAGAGCTAGTTCCAAAGCCACAGAGAAACCCTGTCTCAAAAAAACAAACAAACAAACATGCAGTCTCAGGGTTCAGTTACTACTACAGAGGTGGGGGTGGGGGAGATGTGTCTCCATACTTGTTCTCTTGTAAACTGTTTCCTGTTTACAAAAATAACATGCTCATTAAGAAACTAGGAAAGGGCAGAAAAGCATAAAGAGGAAACAGGCCCACAAACGTGTTTATCTGTGGATGGTGAGACCACATCATCAGACAAAGAAGCAAGACACACCGGGCTCCAGAGTTAACCTGGTGATAGCAGCAGCAGCACGAAGAGCCTGGAGTGACTTAGGGGAGAAGAGGTTACAGTTGAGCGGGAACTGAAGTAGGACCCGAGAACAAAAAGCTGAGAGTACTCAATGCATCTGGATTTCAGTCGAATGAATAAACCACCCACTTAAGTACCAAATGTTTAGGGAGCATTACTATAAGCCATGCATTATTCAAAAAATTCCAGATCTACAACACTGAGTAGGACATGCTCTCCAGCATCAAAAATCTGGCCACCTCCTTGAGAAAAAGAATGGAGGACAAGAAGCAAAGATAGACATTTGACGTAGACAAGAAATCAAGTTGATGTCCAGGGAAGGTACACAGAATGGCAGGAGTTTACAGTGTTAACTTGGGGTCAGGCTGGAAGAACCTGAATACCAGACTGGCAGTTATTAATTCAAAGATTCGAGATAATGGGCAATTTTACAGCAAAGAAATCCTATAGCATGCAGGTACAGCTTCAAAAATCTGATGTAGGATTTCCAAGCATCTAAGTATACTGATAAGAGCATCTCAGGGCCACCTCGTCAGAAGAACTGAAGAAAAGACTTAATTGGTTGAGCATTGAGTTTGATGCCAATGCCAAAAAGAAAAAACAAACACCAAAAAAAAAAAAAAAACACCACATACACACACACACACACACATACACACACAAAAAAAATCATGGTGACATATGTATTTACTCCCAGCACTCAAAGGTGGAGATGGGGAGGGGGTCAGAAGTTCAAGGTCATTCTTGATTACATAGCAAGTTCAAGGCCAGCCTGGGTTATGAGACCCTGTCTGAAAAAGAACTGCAAGATAGTGTAATGTAATTCTATTTGTTTAATGCAATATACACAGACAATGACTCTTGGCAGTTTTTACTCTGGAAAGGAAAACAAGGAAACAAGGGATGGTAAGTTAATTTTTACTTAATTATCTGTTTTTTTTTTTTTTTAAAGCTTGCCGGGCGGTGGTGGCACATGCCTTTAATCCCAGCACTCGGGAGGCAGAGGCAGGCGGATCTCTGTGAGTTCAAGGCTGGACCGATAGCCTCCAAAACAGAGAGACCCTGTCTCGTAAAAACCAAAATAAAAAAATAAAAAAATAAAGCTTGGCTGTGAAAGGAGAGGGCAAATTATATACAGTAGTATTGAGATGTGCAGTTATAAACCTTAGCCTCAAAACATATAAATAACTCTCCTATTTGCCAATTCTCAACAACTAGACTATACCTACTTCTTTTTTTCCTTTTTTTTTTTTTCTTTTTGGTTATTCAAGACAGGGTTTCTCTGTGGCTTTGGAGACTGTCCTGGAACTAGCTCTTGTAGACCAGGCTGGTCTCGAACTCACAGAGATCTGCCTGCCTCTGCCTCCCTAGTGCTGGGATTAAAGGCATGCACCACCACCGCCCGGCTTGGTTTTATTTTCAACTGCATTTATTTATTTATTTACTTGTGAACATGAACAGACACGGGTGTGGAGTTCAGAGAATAACTTGAGAAGCTGGTTCTCTTCTTCCTCCACAAGGGTCCTAGGGATCAAACTCAGGTCCTTCGGCTTGGTGGCAGGGGCCTTTACCCACTGAGCTTGAACTCACAGTATAGCTAAGACTGACCTTGAGCTCCCCTTGGCCTCCCTCCTAAGTGCTGGTATTACAGGAATGCACCACTGTGCCCAAAAAAAATCCTTTCAAGCATGTATTTAGACACTGTTTTTAAATCTGACAGGAATATTATAGATTTCCTAGTCTGAGTCCACCTTTGTATCCCTGATATAAACTAGCTTAGTCATTTCTCTACCCTCCACTTTAAGAAAACTGCCAAATCAAGCAGATTTTACTTTTTGTATCCAATTATTGATTCCCGCTGCCACTGCTCTAATTTGGGCCATCTTGCTTCTCCCAGACTGTTTTAATGGCTTCTAAACAGCCTGCTCCTGTTCCTACTGTAATGGCTCCTGCCCCAGCTCTCCCTTTCAGCTATGAATGCAGCAATGACTTGTTTTAAATCCACAGAGAACTGCACGGGGCAATGTGGCACCTATAAAGAATACTGTACAAGACCCAGTCAGTCCCACTCTAGCATGAAGGGTAAGGGAGCCCAACCCTAACTGAGGAGCCCTGGACAGCTGATGGCCACTGGGGAAGGGAGAGTTAGAGTTCTTTAAGGGTGTAGCTAACAACAGGTTGACCGTGCTCCAATAGATGGCCCTGCACACATGAGTCTGGGGGCAGCATAAATTGGACTGCTGGGCTATTTTTAAGAAAGGTGTGATGGAGAGAAGGCTCAGTGGTTAAGCACTAGTTGCTTTTTCAGAGGATCCAGGTTCAATTCCTAGCTTCCACATGGAAGCTCACAGCCATCTGTAACTCCAGTTCTATGGGTTCTGACTCTTCTCCTAGTGTCTGAGGGCACCAGGCACACATGTGGTACATAGACATACATGCAGGCAAAACACCCACACACATAAAACCAAAACAAGTTTGGACATGAAGTAGGGGGAAGGGAGTACATGGAAGGAATTCTCAAAGAATTAACAAAAAAACTGTTTTTAAATGGCATCTGTGGAGGTTGGAACGGGAATGGCTCCCATAAGCTCAGACTTGGATGCTTAGTCATTAGGGAGAGGCACTGCTTGGCAGAGATTAGGAGGTGAGTCCTTGATGGAAAGTGTGTCACAGTGGGTAGGCTCCCAGGTTTCAGTGGCTCTGGCTCTCTTCCTGCTGCCTTCTGATGTGGACGGAGAACTCTCAGCTACCATGTCTGCTGTGTCTGCCATGCTCCCCACCATGAGGCTATTGGACGCTTAGCAACCCCAATTAAATACTTTCCTTTAGGAGAGCTGCTGTGATCATGGTGTTTCTTCACAGCAATAGGACATGGACTAAGACAGCATCTGTTATTGAATACACAAATCTCTTACAGTTTAGATTTCCTACAAAAAGCTCTTGGATATATTTTGTCATATATTCCTAATTATCTTATAATCTGTTGAATAATGAGAACATAGTTTTTTAACTTTGTATTTTTTGGGGGTTTTTTTGTTTTGTTTTGTTTTTTGAGACAGGGTTTCTCTGTGTAGCTTTGATGCCTGCACTGGAACTAGCTCTTGAAGACCAGGTTAGTCTCGAACTCACAGAGATCTGCCTTCCTCTGCCTCCCAAGTGCTGGGATTAAAGGTATGTGCCACCACTGCCCAGTTAGTTTTTTAATGATGTTTCTTTTGGCTTAAAACTATAATTATTATACTGACTTTATACAGTCTTACTAAACAAAAACAAAACAAACAAAAAAGTCTCTCTATGTAGCCCTAACTAGCCCAAAACCTTCTTATAGGCTTAAGTTTCAGTGAGAGACCCTGTCTCAAAAGTAAATAGTTAATAAATGAGGTAGAGAACAACAGAGAAATGCACGCACGCACACACACACACCACTTTAAAAAGGGCCATGTCTTACTTCTGTATCAGTTAGTACACCTTTCCAAACTTCCTTGCACAAAGGAACATTCCAGAAGGTTTATAAGTTGACCTAAACAAGGGCTTTAGAATACATATATCTCTTTAAAAGTGTATATTTGGGAAGGGGGAATTTATAAATCTTGAAGTAACACACATGACTCTTCCTGTGAGGAGAAACAGACAATAAAAAGTCAATATAGTAAAGGAGATGGGAACGACAAAAAAAAATTCTTGATTGATCACGTTAGTGGACTCAAAGCTTTGACAAAAGGAAGTGCACCAGATGTGTAAAAGCTGGCTTTGTGGGGAAAGTTATGCTGAACTGGCCCGTGAGACCTGAGCTCTCCGTTAGTGAGGGGACAGATCAAATGTGAGAACTGTCTTCAAAAGAAACTCACTCAGTGGGTTTTCATTCTCAAACCTGCTATCCTCTGCATGTGAAAACCAACAGGATACAGAGTCTCAGCAGCAGGACAATGAGCAAACGCCAGTGAAAACACTCGAGGCAGTAACTCCATCACCCCTCTTAGCTCCTCTCTGTTTCCCTCTGGAAACCACCCAAACTGTCTGGTCTCTGCCTCATGGACCTTAAAACAGAGCTGAAGCACAGATGAGGAAATTTTCATTATTGTGTAGAATCAAACATAGACTCTCAAGTAATTTTCCCTGTTACCTGTGTGCCTACTAGTCAGCACAGATTTTAGTCTCCCAACAGTGAGTTGTTAAGTGTGTCTGCACACCAGCCTCCAATGTGTACAAATAGTGCAAAGATCACATGAAGAAAATATGAGTATACATGTGTGCAGTGCTGGGGACCAAGCCCAGGCCTCGAGCATACTACGCATGAGCTCTGCTATGGTTCCAGTCTAGCCTGGCACACTTTCCCCAGAAATGACACAGTCTTAAGTGATAAGTCTTAAGAGCTAAGAATCTTCAACTACAAGTTCTCCCAGTGTATTCTTTGGGGTCCTGAGACATTGGAAGGGGATCATGAAGTCAAAACTATTTTTAAATTTAATTTTCATCAGTGTGGGGAGTTGTGTGTGGCATACACGTAGGGGGTCACATGACAACACTCTGAAGCCATCCTTCTTCCACCCTTACATGAATTCAGGTTGCCAGTCTTGAACATCAAGCACCTGGACCCACTGAGCCACTGGGCTGGCCTCAAGACCAGTCTTAAAACACTAGCTGGAGCGTGGTTTAGCGGCAGAGCACACGCTGAGCATGGACTACAATATTCTTGCTGTTTAAACTGGATGACATCTGTAATCATGGTGCAAAAGCGATGGTGTAGACCAGCACAGTCACATGACCCTGAGATCCCAGCAGTTAGCAGGCAGAGGCAGGAGGATTGAAAGTTTAAGGCCAGCCTGGGCTAAGCAGTGAAATACTGTCTGGAACTCAGGAAGAAGGCAACGGCATGTAGACTGCTGCTCCCTCAGTAGGGGAACTGTGGTGGCATCTGAGTGTTTTACTAGAAAAGTCTTCAGGAAACATTTGCAGCTTGAAAAACCTCAACCTCATTTATCCTTGATAAAACAGAAAAAGAAGAAAGCTTTACTGAATTTTGCTCCTTGAGTACACAGCCTTTTAACATTCTTGTGGTGAAACTGACATTATGTATGAAGAGCTTGGCCTGTGCACCTAACCAGACAGCTGTCTGGAAGAACTGGGCACTGAACCAATGTCTGTCCACTTGAGAGAGCACGTAAAAGAACACTGACAGGCAAATTGTGGCTGATCAGACTTGACTATGTGGTAGGTATTTTTTTCCTTTATCTTTTTTGTTATTGCTTTTGATTTTTGAGATAGGCTTTCATTATGTATGCTTGGATGTCCCGGGAACTCACTAGTTTAGACCAGGCTGGCCTCAAACTCTCAGGGACCTGTATGCCTCTGCCTCTTAGGTGCTAGATTAAGGACATGTGTCACCACGCCTGACTTGAAGGTATTAGTCTTTAAAAAGAACTTGAAGGAAAACAAGTGTCAACAGTTTCTGCCAATAATAAAATTTGAATTTTCAGATGAAAATTAGAAATTTTAAGCAGCCATCCTGGGTTTTACAACTTCAAAGTGCTTAAATATTTTGATAACACTGGTAGTGACATTATCACATATTTTAAAACCAACAGCATAATAAAATGTAACAGCATTTAGAAGCTTTTTATAATTTAGCAAACCACTTCTCAAAACGAGGAAGAATTTTTTTTTTTATGTTTCATGAAGACAAGGTCTCATGTAGCCCTGGCTAACCTAACATTTACAAAATTAAAAAAAAAAGTTTTAAAAGATGACTCAGTGAGTAGAGGAGCTTGCTACTCGCTGCCATGCCTGAACCCCTTGGGTTTGATCCCTGGGACCCACATAATAGAGAGAACTGACTTCTGCAAATTCGTTCTCTTATCTCCACACACATACCCATACAATAAATAAATGTAACCAAAACTTTTTAAAAAGAAAGATAAAAGAAATAGCCTGAATTATAGGTGGAGAATTTCTAAGAGGGATTTAGGTATAATAATCATAAAAATTAAAACAGTTATCAGTCTCTTGTGTTAGATTATGCTAACACATGCCAACCTGTTCTTAGCTTTTTTGTTTGTTTTTTGAGATAGTGTTTTTCTGTGTATCCCAAGCTATCTGGAACTGACTCTGTAGATCAGGCTGGCCTTAAATTCAAAGATCTGCCTGTCTCTGTTGAAATTAAAAGCCTGTGCTACCATGACTTTTGTTCCTAACATTTTATGTAGCTTAATCTTAATAATTCCATGACAGTAGGACTTTTAACCCCCATTTTGTCCTGGTATTCATCAAATTACCATCATATCACCTGTGAAACCCATCCTACAAGACCTTCCTTCCTGACAAATACACAGTTCGTTTCCATAAAAAAAAAATTGGCTGTTATGGTCAACACCCACTATTCAAAGAGTCTTTCCGGCTAACAAACTGACACTGTTTCCCACAACCAACTCTTCTCTGAATGTGTTAGCATACTTGCGTTCATGAATAAAGAGTCAGGCATGTTGGGGCACACATGTAAGCCTACTACTTGAAAGGCTGAGACAGAAAGGCTATGAGTTTAAGGTGATGCCCTGCAAACCTAGAAGGGCCTAGAAGAGCCCTGAGCTTCTAGGAACCTATTAGTTCAAATATGCACATGTTAAAAACCTACCTGTTGGAGCCATCTTTCATGTGGACTTTGGCATAAAGAACATCCACCATACCAGGATCGTCATTCATGTACTCAATCCCTGCCATCTCTGCTTCCAGGGGTTTGCCACCAGAAATGTCACTGTCAAAGAAAAAGCATTAGATTTTTACAGCTGTGTAAACAAAGAAGGCCGCAATATTGTAAAAGATGGTTAACATGCATAGTCAAGTAGTACAAGAACAGGCCTGTGAGGGTTGTAGCTGTCTTTCTAATTTCAAGTTACTAAATGTCTAATGCCCACACCTGCAAAATACAGGAGAGTATTTTCAGCACCACGCCATGTTCCAATACTCACTGATGAGTTCTAAGACATAACCAAGGAATGACATGATTGGCAATGACATTCTACTGTACTGGCCCTTCTCTCAAAAGCCCATCTCTCTTCATCATTTCTACAGTTACAAGAGGCTTTCACTCACTAGATGTGCATACCAATAATACATCTTCAGACCACCTGTCCACATTAATGAAAGGCCTCCTAGACTCATTTATGCAAGCAAGTCCCTTTCTAGGAACTGCTTCAAGGGAATGGCAGTACAGCCAACCACAGCTGCTGAACCATGTCATTGTTTGAGGGTTTTGTCTGTTTGCTTTATTTTGGGTGTTTGTTTGGAAACATTTAACGCTCCTGGTTCTAGAGTGTTAGTCTAGGACCATCATAGAGGAGAACATGGCAGCAGGCGGGCAGGCATGTGCTGGAACAGTAACAGAGTTTTCATCTTGATCCACAAGCATGAAGCAGAGAGGTAACTAAAATGGCATGGGCTTTTGAAACTTCAAAGCCCACCTCCACACCTTCTCCAACAAGGCCACACCTACTAATCCCTCCAGAACAGTTCCACCAACTGGAGACCAAATAGCCAAACATACAAGCCTATGGAGGCCTTTCTCATTCAAATCACCACACACTGCTTTAAGTGTTTCTAAGGAATTTCCTTTGGTAAGTAAGATCATAGGACCCAAGGTCCACTAGACAGGATTACAAACAGGGAAAAAGAAAACCACAAAGCCTAAGTGTTGAAGGAATCCTTATTATGCTAGGTCCCAGGACAGGTTTTCACTCTAAGAACATTTCTTAGTTAGGGTTTCTATTGCTGTGAAGAGATACCAACATGACCACAGCAATTCTTATAAGGAAAACATTTAATTGGGGTGGCTCCTTTACAGTTTCAGAGGTTCAGTCCATTATCATCATGGCAGGGAGCATGGCAGCATGCAGGCAGACATGGTGCTGGCTACATCTTGATCAGAAGGCAACAGGAAGTGAACTAAGTGTCATACTAAGGAAAGCTGGAGCAAAGCCCACCATTACAGAGACACACCCACTTCAAAAGGAGTGGCACTTAGGAAGTGTGGCCTTGTTGGAGTAGGTCTGGTCTTTTTGGAGGAATTGTGTCATTGTGGAGGTGGGCTTTGAGACCTCATACAAGCTCAAACCACACCCAGTGAGAAAGTCAAGATGTAGTACACTTGGCTCCTTCTCCAACACCAAGTCTGCATGCACAACACCATGTAGCACCATGATGATTTTAAACTAACCCTCTGAAAATGTAAGTTACCCAAATTAAATGTTTTTTTCCTTTATAAGAGTTCCCATGGTCATGGTATCGCTTCACAGCAACAGAAACTCTAAAATGCTTGAAAGGAAGGAAGGAGGGAGGGAGGGAAGGAGGGAGGGAGGGAGGGAGGGAGGGAGGGAGGGAGGGAGGGAGGGAGGGAGGGAGGGAGGGAGGCAGGGAGGGAAGGAAATTGTTTTTATTATGCAGGATATCTTCATAGCAAATCTTGTCAATTGTGTCAAAATTCTTAGCTAGCAAGATTCCAACAGACTCTAGAGTGAGGAAGTTCTTGCCCTCTCCTATCCTGAATGCTTTCTCTTTCTGTCCTGCCTCTCTTTCCTTCTCTGGGACTTCAATATCTTAATCTGAAGGCTAGCTGATGACTAAAGATCCATTCTCCACAATTTTTCAAGTGCTGAGCCAGGATGCAGAACCCACCTCTCCAGGGACTAAGAGTTTCAACCTGTTTGATCTAAGGGAGCATGAGGAGATCCAGCCTTGGAAACTGAAAAACTGTCATTGATGGGAACCAACAGTGGCCTAGAATATTCCCACTATAGTGTTTTCTTCCCAGTTCCCTCTAACAGACATATACTTCAACCAGAAAGAGCTTCCTGCCCATCTGAAGCTGGAAAGCTCCACTCATTTATAGTGTTCCCTAAGCATCATACAGATAGACTCCATCTCTCCCCTTTTATATCACTATGCTTTAAATAAAACAGGTGCTCAAGGCCTCTCCACTCAACACCATATAGACACCCAACATTTGGGGAAGGCTGCTCTACAGTGCTGAGAGGAATGTAGTCACAGCTGCCATCTCACGGTCTCTTCTGGGCTCTCCTGGGAGCCCTGAGACCTGCTCCTTAGGTCTGCCTTGCACCTTAGCTCCCCATGGGAAACCACTTGACTGTCATGGTTCCTCACAACTTAATTCTTTTTGCCACTTCCGAGCCCTACAGGTTGTGATCATCAAGCTGGATTCAGCTGGGAAGACCTCCCTCCATTAGGATTTTTCTGAGTGTCCTCACTGAGGCCTTCAACACTCAGAAGGTCCCAGTGCCCTTGGGTGGGGGATTTCCTATGGAATTACCTTCCAAGTAGGAGATGTTGGAGGTCAGAAGGAGCTACAACCACTGGGGTTCTCTTATATCTGCCAGGCAGGTAGTCTTGTGTTCGTGGTGCAGTCTCTGCAGAGACTGGGTGGATGGAGGAGGCCAACATGGAGCCAGCCAAACTGAATCAACGGGGCCTCGGAAAACCAGAGGTCCCAGTACTGATAAGAAACAAGACCAGCCTGGGGCACTGAGTGCAGTTGAGGTGCCACCTCCACCCATGTGCCAGGCTGCGGGGCTGTGGACAGGCTGGGCTTGCAGCCATGCCTCAAGCATCATATGAGATCATCCTCAACAGGAAAGTAGCTTGAGCAGGCAAGAAAAGAGGTGAACTGAGACTGTATCCAACCAACCAACAGCTCAGAAGTCTCCCTGGATCTTTCAAATCATCCCAATTCACAGAAGGCCTGAAACCTCATCAGATATAGTATGTCTCCATTCCAAGTACTGATTAGGGAATTCAATATGAGAGGCCGCCATTCTATTCTATCCAAGTCCATGCTAGAAAACTTGCATTAGCAATCAACTTTATACTAACTGCACCACACACGCTAATTTCTTTTTAAGAGATAGGGTTTCAATGGGCACAGTGTGCACACACCTTCAATCCCAACATTTAAGAGGCAATGGTAGGCAGATTTCTCTGAGCTGGAGGCAAGTCCTAGGCCAGCCAGAGTTATATAGTGAGACCCTGTCACAAAAACAAAAACATAAAGAGAAAGGGTCTTATCAAGTTGCCCAGTCTGGCCCAAATATCTGAACTAACAGTCCTCTTGTTTAGTCTTCCAGTTAGGATGTGCTGTTCCTAACTTTCCTTATACTTTTAAAATTAACCCTGGTGGAGCTGGTGAGATGTTTTAGCAGATTTTTACGCAAGGCAAGTTTAATGACTTAGTTTGATCCCTAGAACTCATGTAAGAAAGCCAGATGCACTGGCCTACATCTGTAATCCCAGCATTCCTATGGCAAGATGGGAGAGGGAAACGGGAGAATTACCCAAAAGCTCCACTCACTAACCAGCTAGCCTGCAGTACCAGCACAGCAGAAACAACCTCAGGCCGGGCGTTAGTGGCATACGCCTTTAATCCCAGCACTAGGGAGGCAGAGGCAGGCGGATCTCTGTGAGTTCGAGGCCAGCCTGGTCTACAGAGCCAGTTCCAGGACAGCCTCCAAAGCCATAGAGAAACCCTGTCTCGAAAAACCAAAAAGAAAAAAAGGAAAAAAAAGAAACAACCTCAGTAAAGTGGAAGAGGGTAACAGACTCCTGAAAGCTGTCATCTGACCTCCACAAGCATGACATGGCACAGAAACCCCAGTTATACACACACACACACACACACACACACACACACCACATAAACAAAAAACTGAAAACAGTTAAAAACTAACTCTGCACCGTTAGATCAGCACTACCATGTTTTCACTAGGTTATACTTAATGCCTCTTGTGAACCTTTTTTACCACCTGCTTATCATCTTTATATGATGATTTGTTGTGTGATGTTTTGTTTGTGTTCTGACAAATAAAGCTTGCCTGGAGATCAGAGGACAGAGCTAACCACTAGTTAACCATAGAAGCTGGGCAGTGGTGGTGCATGCCTTTAATCCTGACACTCAGGAGGAGGTGGAGGGAAGTGATGTGTGTGTGTGTGTGTGGGGGGGGTGATGGAGACAGGATCTCAGCTTTTTTGGACAGAGGGACAGAGAGAGGTAGGAAGCAAACTGGCAACCGCTCCTGGTTCTCTGGTCTTCCAGGTTTTTAACCCCAAGGTATCTGACCCCTGGTTTTTATTAAGATTAATTAGACTAACACTTCAAAAATTGACATGATTAAATTTTCATGGACTGAGAGCCCAAATTCTCTCCTAAAACCTATCATACTGTATTTTGTTGTTTTGTGAGACCGGTCACCAGAGTATGTAGCCCTGTATGTAGTCCATGCTGTCCTAAAGTATGTAGCCCAGGCTGGCTTGAATCTGAGGCACACTTACATCTCCCAAGAACTGACATTACAGGTGTAAGCCACTTTGCAGACTAGCCTACTGATTTTAATCAGATAGTAACTATCATAAGTTGGTATCTTTCTAGAATTTGTTCAAGTATATTGGTGTCATCAAATTGTACCAAATTTAATGCTTAAGCACAATTAGTCTAGGTCGATTTCTCCCTCTCTGTCTTTTCCCTGGTGCTGAGGACCAGATGAGATGAGGTATCAAGAACAAAAGCTAGATAGATACAGATACAACAGGTTCCCAGCTCGCTTATGAGTAGAAATGGAAGCACCTGCAAACCACCCACAGATTTATCAAGAAAAAGATTAAACAGCATGAAAGAGAAAGCCAATTGTTTGCCTGATAAATGACCTTTGTCTTGGTGGCTTAAAGGTGAACTGGGATACAGTAATTAGGAATTAGCATCTGTCCACAGCTGGTTTCTCTTCCCCAGCCCTTGTCCCTCTTAGGTCTACTTGTTGAAGCTGTCGCCTGTGAGGGACTCTCAGGTTTCAGAAGACAGATGCTGGAGCTGACAGGGGAAGTTCATATTTGTCAAAGCAGATACTCCATGCCACTGTCCTACATCCCACAGAGAAAAGTCACAAGGGACACGTTTGATCATCAGAGTTTCCTCAACACTGAATAATTCATTCAAAATCTGAGTTGTATGAGCCTCAAGCTTAAGATTTTCAACAGAAATCTGGGTTCTGGGTAGAAAGCATCTTTTAGTCTCAACAGCTACCTCCAGATCTCAACTACCCACATCCTTCAAAGACCCACACAGCACTGTGCTTTTATCAAATAGAAATAAGTCATGTTTGTTTTAATATTCCAAAATGAAACATCATCATCACGTTGAACTACGGCACAGTCTACACTGGTCCTCTTGGTTCCAGTGTTTTCCTTTGCACATTTTATTTTGAGATCTTTACAACACAGCAGGTTCAGGTTAGAAATGCCATTACACACTGGCATACCTCTTAAGGGTACCACTGCAAAGGCTGAGAGCAAAGGACAAACCTAAGTGAAAAACAAAAGACAATTTACTCACCAGAGTTTAATACAATTTTTTATTTATTTTTTTAGTGACATCTCATTTGGGGAAAATGGTCTCTAAGGACTCCAGACACCTGATGCTGACCCTCATCTGACATCACAAAAGTGTGTTTGCACTGTAGATGTGTTAAATGTGCACACAGCACAGAGGGGCAGGAGAAGAGGGCTGGGGGAGCTTGGAGGTGAGGAGGGCTTGCTTTGCTTTACTTGCTGGTCTCCAATCTTCCCAGCTTTTTGAAAAGAGCATCTTCGAACATCTTTCTGCATGCACTGCAGATTTCTGGCAGGGCAACTTAGTCCTATTTCAAAAGCTTTGCTGAATTTGAAAAACTACAATTACCGTTTTCATCCTGTCACATCAGAGGCTTAGAACTATTAGGACTGTTCTTTATTCCCTGTGCACACTGACTCTGACATGCTTCCAGGCTCCGATTTGGCAGTGAGTCACAAAAGGCACTAAATATACAAAAGGGATGTACTTGGCTAGGTCTGCCCATAGCTTAGGATTAAAACTCAGTGATTAAAACCTGAGGCCTGGTTTTCTTAAGGCAAGAAGAACAAATACTTCAGTACATAATATTTTATCTAATTCTACTTTTTTTTCTTAGCAGGATTATCCCACAGGCAGCCAGGAAAATGTAGCTACTTTCAGTTTAGTGTAGCAAAAAGAGAATTGAGAATACAATGAAGTATGAGACCTTTGAATATTTTTATTTTATGAAGAAAATTGCAACTATCTAATGACGAATACCAAATTATTTTGAGTCTTAAGTTAAGATTTTTAAAAAATAAAACAGTGGAAGTAGTGTTACACAGTTTTAATCCCCCAGCACTGGGGAGGCAAAGGCAGGTGGATATCTGTGAGTGCAAGGCCAGACTGCTCTACATAGTGAGTTCCAGGATAGCTAGGGTTATATAGTGAGACCCTTTAAAAACAGAAGAAGAAAACAAGTAACTGGGTGCTGGGATGAAAGGAGTGCACCACATGCCTGGCTTGCTATTCTTACTGACTAAAATAAAGATATCGATATTTACTCCTTAAATTGCTTTTACCTTCTATTTGGGGAGGTGGCTAGGGTTGTTTGCTTACTCAAGACAAGGTCTCATGAAGCCCAAACTTCCTTTCAACTGGCTTACGTAATTAGGGATAACCTTGAACGCCTGATACCCATTCTCCATCCCCAAGTCCTGGATTCACAGGCATGTGCCACCATACCACATTAGGCTGATCTTTACACTTCTGAGGTAGAGTCTTGTGAGTCAGGTGGGCCTCAAATTTAAGATTTTCCTGCCTCAGTCTCCAGGAGCTATAATGTGTACACCATCACAGCCACCTTCCTCTTCTTCCCCTTCTTATTTTAACTTTAGCCAGGTACAATGGTGTACACCTATAATCCCAGTACTCAGGAAAAACCAAAAAAAAAAAAAAAATCTGAGACTAGCCTAGGTATCATAAAATCCCAGCTACTCAGGAGGCTGAGGCAGGTACCTGAGGTAACAGTAAAACCATGTTACCTATAATAAATAAGAGATGGAGGAAGAGGAGAGGGAGAAGGAATGGGAAAGGGGAGAGAAGGAAGGAGGGGGAGCATGCTATCCTTTCCTAAGGAACGCTGCAGTACTGTCTGAGCTACTGTGATATGCCCTCCAAGAGAACTAGATCCCATTATCTTCCATGTCTCAGTTAAGAGGCTTGATAACAGGAATCAATTTGATCATAGATGAATTCAATCAAGTCAGAGTCCTACAAGCCAACAGCTTGTCCCTGCTGTAATCACAGAGCGAGGAAACAGCTAAAGGTACAGAGAAGTGCAACATTAGAATTAAAGGCGGAGAAAAGAAGTCATAATATGAGACACCTCTAAAAGCAAGACTTTAAAAGCAAAAAAAAAAAACCACATTTTTCTTAAAACACTAGAAAGGACACAGCTCTGCCACAACTTTGATCTCAGTCCAATGAACCCAATATAAGTCTCCTGACACAGACCAGTAAGACGGTTCAGCAGGGAAAGGTGCTGGCAGCCAAGTCTGAAGCTGAGCTTGATCCCTGAAGTGCATGACAGAAGGGAAGAACTGACCCTGTGAGCTGTCCTCGGAGGTCCACGTGTATGCCATGGCATGTGTACATGTTCCCTTTATAATTAAAGAAATGAGTGAATAAACAACAAAATTCCCATGTCATCCAGCTCTCTCATCTAAAAACAAGCCTTATACTCAAAACCCCATCCTAGGCTGCCCTCCCTCCCTCCCCTTTCCTGGTAAACCAGATGAATGTGTGCTGTCTTAAGCGACTGAAGTTGTAATACGCTACTATGGACCAAAACATGGGATCTTCTGCTTAAGAACAAAATTTGGCCGGGCTGTGGTGGCGCACACCTTTAATCTCAGCACTCGAGAGGCAGAGGCAGGTGGATCTCTGTGAGTTCGAGGCCGGGCTGGACCGATAGCCTCCAAAACAATACAGAGAAACCCTGTCTCGAAAAACCAAAAAAAAAAAAAAAAAAGAACAAAATTTGCCTATCAATTTGTACAATTTAAAAACTGTAAATGCATGCTTTAAGTCAATTTTCAAGCCTTCAGTTGATAGTCCAGTGTTAAGTACTACGAATGAATCAGTCAGGGCTGGAGAGATGGCTCAGCAGTTAAGAACGCCTGTTCTTGCAGGGACCAAGCTTTGTTTCCCAGCACCTACATGATGGCTTACAGCCATCTGTCACTCCAGTTCTAGGGGCTCTGACACCTTCTGACCTCTATGGACACTAGGCACATGCAAAGTACACATACATGCATGCAAGCAAAACACTCATCCCCATGAAATAGATTGATCTTATATATGCTTCAATAAGCAAGTCAACAAACCCACATTGTTGACTATCATGAGCTGATTTCCATGTCATCCAGCTCCCTCATCTGAAAAAAAGTCTGTGATTATGAAGACTCCAGCCTGAACTGGCCTCCCTCCCATTGCTCCCAGTTACGTACTTAATGAATTCCTCTTTACAACGCTGCAGGATCTCACACGTCTGCTGGATCTCTTGTTCACTTAAAAGCACCAACATCCCAATAGTTAGGTGAAGCTTTTTGGGATTCTGAAAAATGGAGCTGTCAACCCCACGGTCCTGTCGTTAGAGGAAAGAAACAAGAAACTCAGCTCATATAGAAGCAAATGGCAAGAACCATCCTGGCAAAGTAGGGTGTGGTAGAGCACCCCTAATCCCAGCATTCAGCAGACCTGTAAGCAGGTGGATCTCTGTACTACAAGAGAGCCTGGTCTACATCAGAAGTTCTGGGCCAGCTAGAGCTACATAGAGCTCATCTCAAAAACAAACAAAAATATATATAACCAGGGTAAAGTGGGCTTAACCTGTAATCCCAGCATTGGGAAGACTGAGGCAGGAGGATCACTGCAAATTCTAGGGCAGCCTGACTACATAGTGAAACATATCTCAAAAAAACAAGCAAATGGCTGGAGAGATGGCTCCGTGGTTAGTAGCACCTGGCTGCTTTTCCAGATGGCCCAGTTTCAATCCCCAGCATATACAACCTGCTCACAACCAGCTAGAACTCCAGTCCCAGGAGACCTAATACCTTCTTCTGGTCTCCGTGGCCACTGAACACATGTGACACACAGATATAAATGCAGGCAAAGCACACACATAAATAAAATATTCAAATATATAATACATTCATATATACTCTCTCTCTCTCTCTCTCTCTCTCACACACACACACACACACACACACACACACACACACACACACACACAGAGCCAGGCATGATGAGCACTGGGGAGGCAGAGACAGATAGATCTCAATGAGTTCCAGGCCATCCAAGGCTATAGAATGAGACTCTGCCTCAAAACAAAACCCTCAAATAATTGACATGTATATAACTGAGGACCCAAAAATAAACCCATATACACAGGAAATGTCTACACAGAGGAGAACAAAGGTGGAGGCTAATTATATATAAAAATTAACTCAAAACTGATCAGTGACTTACACATAAAGTTAAGCGCTTTCAGAGAATAAATTTATTTATTCTCTTTCAGAGAATTAATAACAAATTTTTAAGACCCTGCTTTTGGGGCTGGAGAGATGGCTCAGAGGTTAAGAGCACTGACTACTCTTCCAGAGGTCCTGAGTTCAATTCCCAGCAACCACATGGTGGCTCACAACCATCTATAATGAGATCTGGTGCCCTGTCTGACCTCTAGGCATATGTGCAAGGAGAATGCTGTATACATAATAAATAAATCTTAAAAAAAAAAGACCCTGCTTTTGACAATGGGTTCTTAGATATGCCAATAAAAAACCTAAACAAGGAAACATAGGGAAGGAAACTGAACTTAATGAAAATTCACAAATGTAATTAGCAGTAAGGAAGTAAATGAAACCAAGCACAGTGGTGTACCTGTAGCCCCACACTGAGGAAGCTAAGGTAAGAGGATGATGAGTTCAAAGGAAACCTAGACTACACAGCAAGGCAAAGGAAGCAATGGAAGGAAGGTGGAGGGGAGAGGGAAAGAAAGGGAAAAGAAAAGGAGAGGAGAGGGAAATACCAGAGAGAAGACGGGAGGGGAAAGGGGAGAGAAAGGAGGGGAGAAAAGGGGAGGGAAGAGAGGCAAAGGGGGCAGGAAGGAGAGGGAGGGAAAGAGAGGGAGAGGGGAGCAAAGGAGAAGAGAAAGTAGGGGTCAAGAGAGTGGAAGAAAGAGGAGAGTTTACAGAATGGGAGAGATATTTGCATTATTTGTTAAAGATAAAATATCCAAAATAGAGGCCAGGGAGAGGTCCTGAGTTCAATTCCCAGCAACCACATGGTGGCTCACAACCATCTGTAATGAGATCTGGTGCCCTCTTCTGGTGTGTAGATATACAGGCAAACAGAACACTATATATATAATAAATAAATCTTTTTTGAAAATATCCAAAATATATCTCTTGAAATAAAAAACACAAACACAAACAATCTACTCTTTAAAACAGAGAAGAGTGATGGGCAGTGGTTGCAAACACCTTTAATCCCAGCACTCAGGAGGTGGAGGCAGGTGGATCTCGGATTCAGACCTGTCTGGTCTACAGAGCAAGTTCCAGGACAGCCAGGGCTACACAGAGAAACTCCGTCTCAAAAAAACAAAACAACTTAAAAAATTAAAAGAGAAGATTTAAATGAGTATCTTCCCAAAAAGCTGTAATAACAATGCGCAAGACCTTCAACATCATTAATAATTTAGGGGAATGAAGAGCAAGCCACAATGAGGTACCGACTCTCAAAATAATGGAGAGGGGAAAAAAATACTGACAAGGTTGCCAGAAATTGCAACCTCAGACAATGCCAGGAAAGTAAATAGTTCAGTTCAGCCACTGTGAAAAACATGCTGTCAGTTGCTGCAAAAGTTAAAGACAGAATCGCCATGTAACCAACAATTCTACTCCCAGGTACATGCCCAAGAAAATGAAAAAGGACCTAATCAGAAACATTCCTAAAAGTGCTATTCACAATCCAACAGATGAAGCTAGCCTACATGTGTGTGAACAAATAAATGATACACAAGCTGTGGTAGCCCTCCTGGAGAAGCTAGTAACTGTGAACAGGAGTGAAGTGCTAACACCAGGCAATAAGGATAAACTCCAGAAACATGGTGTTAAATAAAAGAAGCAAGGGCCAAAGGGCCACATAATTTATTAGTCCATTTCCATCAGATGTTTAGAGTATAGAAAAGAGAGTAACATTAGAGGCTGTTGAGAATAAGGGTGATAGGTAGGAACTTTCCTTTAGGAAGAATAAAATGCTGTAAAGCAACATATGGCTGCCAGTTGTGCACCGTCAATATATCTAACACTAATGCACCATTCCCTTTAAAATGGTTAAGTTGATGGAAGCAAGACAGGGACTACAGCAGGCTTTTGCTACAAAGCACCGACTCTTCTCTTGGCCCTGGCACGTGTCTGATGAGGGGCTAAAGCAGGACAAATGGACCACAGCTCTGGCTCATGTTGCTCCTGTTTCCTCTACGAACAGTGCATTCTCATAAACACCAACCCATCTCTCCAGCATAGTATTTTAAATGTAGGTTTAGGAAGGTTGAGAACACAAGGAGAACACAGATGTCAACTAAGCAGGGCTCATAGGGACTCACAGAGACAGAAGCAGCAATCACTGAGCTTGCCTGGGCCTGTGCTAGGTCCTCTGTATATAAACTGCAGTTGTTTAGCTTGGGGCTTTTGTGGGACTCTTAACAGTGGGAGTGGGGTATCTCTTTTGCCTGCTCTCGGGACCCCACTCACACCGTTAAGTTCTGCCAAGCATGAGGACGAGTGAAGAGTGAGTGTGGAGACAACATGTGGCCACATCCAAGATAGTCACCCTTCCCTGGCACTGACACTGCTCACATTTTCACAACTTCGCCCTGGGAAACACAAAAGGTGAGTATTTCTGAGTCCTTTTTTAATTAAAGTGCAATTCACTTCACATACAACGGGCTGCTTTACCATGTAAAATTTGGTGGTATTTAGCATATTCATGTATAACCAATATGCTCTCCTTACTTTCAAAATCTTTCATCTCCTCAAAACACTCCATTCCCATTAAGTGATGACTTCCTGCCCTGAAGGCAAGCTCTAATGTGACCTGTGTCTCTTTGGATTTGCTTATGGATCTGTCTATTCTGCATACAGCACATAAAAGGAATTATTCAAAAGACAACTTCGGTGACTGGCTGTCTTCAGTCAGCATGTCTCCCAGTTGACCACGTCTAGTGTACCATAAACCTTAACTAGAGTAACTGTCATATTTCATGAACCTTACTCTGTAAATGGAAAACAAGAGGAAAAAAAAGAGAGACTCTCCTCTAATAGGAGCCAAGCAGGAGGAATTCTAGCTTTGAATTATAAGATTCATAATCGGATTCCTAGCCTGATAAGTCACCCAAAAGAAATGCATTTACCACACACAGCTTGAACCCAGTTCTTGGTTTGCCTAGGACACACTGCCTCATTTTTGCCTTTGAAACAGTAGTTAATAGATTACCCATTTTCTAGATGTTAATGGAGCCTGAGCTATTTTTGTAGCTGATGAAGGAGTTTTATTATTCTACCCATCAACCCAAATTGCCTCATTTAATTTAAAGAGGTGATTTTAAGGAACTAGCAGCTTTAAAACAGGGTGTGGTAACATTGCCTGTAATGCTAGCACTCACTCAAGATGCTGAGGCAAGAGGGCCATGAGTTTAAGGTCAGCCTGGGCTACACGGTCAAACTGTCTCAAAGTAAAAGCAACAATCATCTCTAAACTGTTGAGGAAGGCTAAGTACAGGGCACGCCATCCCACCTGCCCTAGCCCAGAGTGACACCTGCTCTATTAGGAAAGGCATGTGATGCTCCCTGCGTGACTCCAGTGTGCACAACTCCACCACAAATACAACTGCGGACTGTGTCCCTAGTAACAAGTCAAGCATTTCCTACAAACACTTGCAAGCCCGACTTCACAGGAGATGGAAACAGGTTCAGGAAAAGATCCTGTTTCAGAGGTGTAGGCAGAGAAGGATGCAAAGGGACACCCAACACCCTCATTTGGACCCCACATGTGCAATGTACATGCTCATACACAGATACAGACATGCATATACACATGAATAAATAAAAACAAATCCTCAAACGACTTAGAGAAAAACCCCACTGGGTAGACAAAAGGCACAAAGAGAAACCGCACACATAAACACACAAACCCAGTCCCAAATAGACATCAATGTGCAAGTCCACTCATTAAAACAAGAGGAGCAGTGTGAAGACATGTGAACCACCCCCAACCACCCCACATCCTCACATTCACCACTACATCCCCCCCACTGTCACTGCCATGGCCTAAAGAGAAGCCGAAGAGGGAGCTAGAGGAGAGAAGCCAGGGCCATGACCATCTTCAAAGCTGTCTGTAAACCAGCTCCCCAAACCAGAACCAAGCCTGGACCACCCTGCACAGAAATGAGAGCAGATACCCAGTGGGAATGAGGGACAAGCAGATGCCGGCAAGATGTGAACAGCCATACAGACAACAGAGACGTCAAAGCAAGCCAGGCACAGGAGGATAAAGGTGCCAGGAAACTGCGTGTGTGTGTGTGTG